GTCCGTCGCCTACAGAACATTCTGGCTAAAATCTTTAAGCAGGACCTAAATATGAAGACATATTCAGACAAATTAATACTGAGAGACATTCTGCAGAACAAATGGGCTGGACAGTTCAACAACATCAACGTCAAGAAAGCCAAGAAAAGAGATACAATAACCAAATGCAATGTATAATCAATGATTTATAACTGAATCAGAACATAATAAGGAAAAAGAAAACAAAGGAATGAAAACATTTTGGGATCATGGGAAACAGAAAATCAATTATATATTAGTAATAGTTTCATATTAATGTTAAATTTCTTTTCTTTCTTTCTTTCTTTTTCTTTTTTTGGTGAGGAAGACTTGCCCTGAGCTAACATCTCTTGCCAATTTCCTTCTTTTTTGCTTGAGGAAAAATAGCCCTGAGCTAACATTCATGCCAGTCTTCCTCTAATTTGCATATGGGACACCTCCACAGCAGGGCTGGCAAGTGAAGCAGGTCCGTGCCTGGATCCAAACCCATGACCCTAGGCTTCCAAAGCAGAACGTGCAGAACACCAACCACTTGGCCACAGGGCCAGCCCCAATGTTAAATTTCCTGCACGTGAAAATAGTATTGAAATTACATAGGAAATATCCTTGTACTTAGGTGATACATAGTGAGATGTAAAGTGTCATTATATCTATAACTTACTTTTAAATGCAAAAATTAAAAGACTAAAAGTTTTTCCCCAAAGGGGAAAAATGCCTCTTAGCAAAGTAAAAATGAAGTACTTCAAATAATAAAGAAAAAAAATCTCCATCAATCATCCTACTCAATATTGATATGTTAACTGCAAACCGTTTACTGGCAGTGGCCAGAGATGAAACAATTTCAGCAGCAAATAATGAGAGCACTGGGTTATACCACAAAGAACAAAATAAATGCCCATGAAGCTATACTGACATAAATGATAAAGAAAGAAAGAAAGGGAAAGAAAGTGAAGAAGAAAGGAGAAAGGAAAGAAGGAAGGAGTGCAGGAAAAAAGGAAGGAAGGGAGGAAGGAGAAAAGAGAAGTCACAAATTTTCTTTACTGAAAAATTCCAAATAATATATGTATATATTCTCCCTTCCTCTGGGAGGTGGAACTTAATCACTGTCTGCTTGAACGGGGGCTAGACTTAGTTGCATGCCTCCAACAATCGCACATGAAACGGAGATGCCTTATCTTACTGAAGGAGAAACTCACCTTATGTGATCAAAGTGATCAAGGGTTAATAAGCGAGAAGGATAGTATGCAGCTTCTGATACGCTGGAAGAAGGCATATCACCTTTTTGGAATCCTTCCCCAAAACCCATAACCCCAGTGTAATCAGGAGAAAACACCTGAAAAAAACCTAAATTAGGGGACATTCTACAAAACACCTGACCAATGTTCTTCAAAACTGTCAAGGTCATGAAAGACAAGGAAAGGGAGAAACTGTCACAGACTGAAGAGATGTGGTGACTAATTGCAATCTGCTTATCCTGAAAAGGATCCTGAAAGAGAAGCTGGGGACACAAAGTGGAAAAACTGCTGACATTTACATAAAGTCTGTAGTTTAGTTCATAATATTGTATGAATGTTAATTTCTTAGTTATGCAAACACACCATGGTTATGTAACATGCTAACATTGGAGGAACCTGGTTAAGAGTATATGGAAACTCTCTGTACTATATTTCCAACTTTCTATAAATCTAAAGTTATTCCAAATTTTAAAGTTTGTGTTTTAAAAAAAAACCAAACTCTAAAATCAGCAAGAAGACAGAGATACCTACCAATACAATCAATAGCTTAATAAGAGGTGAAAAATAAAGAGTAAAAGAACTGAAAGGAAGAAAACTCTTTTTTTCACAAACCTTATGATTTTTTGCATAAATCCAAAATAATTCCCAGAATAATTATTATAATAAGTAAAAGCTTAGCATCTTGTCAGATATAAGACCAATACTAAAAATTCCATTGCTTTTCTATATATCAATATACAATTAGAAATTAATTTTCAAAAAGGGATTGTAGAAGGCTATAAAGAATACAGAAGTAAATCTAAATAAGGATGCAGAACATCTATATAAAGAATATTTTAAAACTGCATAGACAATAAAGAAGATCCCAATAAACGGAGAAACAAAATTCTCAAGGACAGGAAGAGTCATTATTATAAGGATGTCAATTTTCTTCAAAATGATCTATACCTTCAATCTACTGCAATAAAAATCACACCAGGAATTTGCAAAGAACTTGACAACTTATTTCTTACAAATGTATTAAAAAGTAAAATAGTGAGGATGCTTCAAAAGAAGAAGAAAATGAGGTGAGACTTCCCTATCACATAGCTTCTATAATGCTACAGTAATTAAGATAGTGTCATTTTGGTACATAGATTGACACAGCTGACCAAAGGAACAGAACAGATAGTCTAGAAACAGACCCGATCATATACAGAAATCAGATCTGCAAGTTAGCTGGTTTTGCACATCACTGGGGGAAAGAGTGACTATTCAATAAATGATGTTGTGACATTACTGGATACCCTAATGAAAAAGCTCAAACCACAGACAAAAATAAATTACAGATGGGTCAAGGACTTAAGTACGAAAAGCAAAATTTAAACAGCCAAACAGCCCAATAAAAACTGGGCAAGAGATATGAGCAGGCATTTCACAGGAAAGGAAATATGAGTAGCCAATAATAATATGAAAATTTCTCAATCTCATTAGTAATGAGGAAAAACAAATAAAAGTTAATCTTGAGGTACAATTTCACACTTACATACTACCAAAAATTAAAAGAATGACAAATCAAAAGGTTGGGAAGAGAGTGGTGCAACAGAAATTGTTGTATATTGTTGGTAGAAGTACAAATTCATCACTTTTAAAATCAATTTAACTCCACCTAGTAAAGTTGAAAACATAAATATCTTAAGACAGCAATACCATTCTTAGACATAAATTCAAAGAAAGTTTTCTTGAACTTTTGGACAAGGAGAGCTGGAAACAAGCCAAATGTTCATCAAAGTAGAAGAGAAAAACAGGCTGAATACTCACACAACGGAACACTGTACATGAAGGAAAACAAATAACTTAAGCTATCTGCATCAACATAAGCTAACTTTTAAAGAATCATATCATATTGCTTAGTTTTGCTTGTTTTGAAATGTATCAAGTCACAAAAGTAAACACATAGTATTATCCCATTGATATATATTTCAAAACAGGCAGAAAATAATTTCCTTTTTATAGGATAATACAGAGAGAAATACATCTATGTGGTCAAATTATAGAGAAAAGCAAGAGAGATCAAGAGAAAAAAACTTACGGCGATGATTATATTTTCAGGGAAAAGAAGAAGGTGTAATCAGGAAGGAACAAATCGAAGGGATTTCAGAATTACTGGAAGTCACTTTTCTTAAGTTGAGTCTCATACTGAGTGAAGTAGCTAGGGGAGGCACGCTGGATGATGGTTTAATTTTTATATTGGACTACTAATATACATTACATACACACATAACTATGTACATAAAGACACACACATATAATGCTTCCTCTCCTGTAACACAACCCACTAGGTGTGCAGGTGTCATGTGGCCCTCTGGGTATTGACCTGTAGGAACTGGAACTCAGGAAGAGTCACAAGAAGCGCTAATACTCTGGCTATTGTTGTCACACAGTTCTTTGTCTCTGACCCAGGCGTCTCCTGTCTTCTATCAGCATCCATGAAACTGGTAGGCTAACTTGCTACTTTGCAAGTAGGACAAGAGCTTAAAGCCTTCACAATTTTTGACAAGATTATGGAATCCAGTATATGAAAAGAAGACAAGAGGTGTAGCATAGCGTGGTGAAAAACTACCTAAATGTCTGTTAAGAAAAATCTGTTTTAGCATTTGTTTAGGTATAAAATATGAATGAGAGCTAGGGCAGTCGCTTTACTTCCTGGACCTCTGTTTCCTTATCTATAAAATGAAGGGTTGAATAACACTGTCTCTAAAATACAGCTAGGATAGCTTCTGTTCTCAAAGACTAAGATTATAGATGTAAGGAAAAAAATAACATGAAATGCATAGTCGCAGAAAGAAGAAATGTTAAAAAATCTAACTACGTAAATGTTAAAGATACAAATTGTGATGACAGCAAGTGCAAACTTTATTTCATCTGCTTTGAAATATTTATCTGTATTATACCATAAAATGAAAATTCTCTTTTAACTTCTATATCAAAGAGAAAATAAAGAACCCTACAAAGCAGCTCAAGTAAAATATTTTCATGATATACAAATGCCATTGAAGTGAAAAATCTTCAAAAAGACCACTCAACCTTGACAAGTATATTCACATAGGATTTAAAGAGTAATATTTGTATGACATACAGTAGGTGGTCTTTTGCGTGGGTGAAATGCTCCAGCTGACTTTGGTCCATGAATGTTTCCAGGAGAATTATGATGAATTTCTACCTGGCAAACCATAATGTCAGCCTAAATTTCAAATTCTGCTTTCAGAACTGTATTTCTTCTTCATGATGAAATATTCAAACTTCTTAATCTTGCATGTGTGTACGTAGCCATATGTGTACCTCCAGATACTGGATACTATCATGTTCCCATGCATACTGCTTTGTCTTTTAACAGCTTACTGTTTATTTTATTGATTTGGCTATCAGGAAGCTCAAAGGTAAAAATTTTAGCACTGATGGTAACAGATTTTTTGGTACAACTGCAAACAGATGTATTGGCACAACTGCATTCCTTACTTGGCTTTTTATTCTTTATTCCTTATTTAAAATTTTTTTAGTCTATATGTGTTTTTTACTATAAATTACATCAAATTATTTTCAATAGTAGATAGAAACATAGCTTAAATAAGATTGGAAATTTCTCGGATCATCAGAAAAACATAACTACAAAAGATGTCATTTAAAATCACATCCTCAAAATGAAGCAACTTGAAAGACTACAATAGTTATTACACTCTGTTAAAATTTCAAGTATGATTAACTTACTTGCATATGTCATCTTCTGGGTCTTCAAGCCCAAATCTTTCATCAAAGGTAAGTTGTATCCATACATTTTCCTCTACTGCTACTAATCTCCACACCAAGTCCATATTTCTTGGATAAGTATGAGGAAACCTTGGGCTGTGAATACTTCCATTAGTAGACACAGTAATAATTCTCTCATGCTGGGGATCTTGTACTCCTAAAGAAAAAACATAGGCATAGACACACATTTAGAATAGACATTTCAAAAATCACAGGTTTCAAAATAGCTTCTGAAAAAGGGTATTCAACACAACTCCAAAGTTTCACATGAACTGGAATTACTAAACGATCTTAAATCTTAAATGACCTTGAAAAGAGAAATGAGATCAAAATAACAGTCTCAATTTCTTGTTGTAAGGGAACTATGAGCACTCTAAAAAGATATTACATTATAAGAAATGTTGCACAGGGCCATCCCCAGTGGACCAGTGGTTAAGTTTGGCATGCTCCGCTTTGGCGGCCAGGGTTCAGTTCCTGGATGCGGACCTACAGTACTTGTCAGCCGCCATGCTGTGCCAGTGACTCATGTACAAAATACAGGAAGAATGGCATAGATTTTAGCTCAAGGAGAATCTTCCTCAGCAAGGGGAAAAAAAAGAAAGAAATGTTGCAGGACTTCTCAGTGACTTTAACATGCTAATATGAATTTTAACTTTCTAAGAGGAAAATATAGTATAAAATAGCTTCCAAGTTTATTAAGCATGGCAACCTTTTACATTATGAAATGCTAAAATATGTTGTTAATAATATCTTTCTTTTGATTAGAGTGTTGGGGGGAGATATGAGAGGGAGGGCAAATTGGTGTTGCTGAGACAAAAGTGTTCTTTTACCCACCCACTTGGGAGTTAGTAATCAGAAGAAATACATAATTGATATTTGTAAAATGAGTGGCTGTTCATCTACACAAAAAATATAAGAAGTAAGATAGTTATGCTCTTTTGGGCCATGAAAATACAATCCATTTAAGTATGCTAAATTCCAGTAACAAAAAAAACCTTTAAACTATGTTTTATTCAATTTCTAAAATAATTTTATGAAAATATTTTAAAAGTCCTAAACTGGACCTTAAACACATGAAGTAACGTGCATGGCACAATACCCAAGACTTAATTTCTTTTGCAACTTTTCTGTACTTATAATATCAGGACAACAATTTTAAATATAGCAATACCTCATTAGTTTTCATGATTTCTTACATATTACTAGAAAACTAATATATTTATTGTGCACAAAGCTATTTGGATTGCAAGAATTTCTTTTTGCACCCATTCTTTCCGTTTTATTCATGTCTATTTTCTTTTTATTGAGGTAACATTGTTTGATAACATTATATAAATTCAGAGGTACATCATTATATTTTGACTTCCGTATAGCATGTGTTCACCACCAAAAATTGAGCTGCCATCCATCACCTTATACGTGTGCCCCTTTACCTTTTTAGCCCTCCCCTCAGCCCCTCATTCTTCAACAGAAATTACAGTAATGGTAGCAAATTTTCAGTTAGTATTTATGTCACTGAAAACACATTATTGCACATTGATAAAATGCAATTTAAGAATATTGCCCTAAGAAACGTCTTGAATTTAAGAATTAATGTCAAGGTTCACTCATTAGTTAGAATAGTATTAAGGTTAAAGAATAACCTGTTTTAATGTTAAAGTACCCAAAATAATTTTAACAAGTTGTAGTTATGATTCTTAAAGCAGTTTTTTCATTCTCTTAAACTTGGCTGTTTCAACAATGTCTGGTAAGCACTATTTTACATTGTCTAACTTACAATTAGGAAGACAAAGTAAAGACAAATATAATTTTTTTTAATATATACAGTGCACATCATGGGGAATATCATAATATTAGTAAATATGCTTTAAGTACCATAGGATTTTTAAATTAAATAAATAATTTAACGCCACTATTCTTCTCAGTGCCGAAACTTGTGGTCAGTAGTAAGTAACCTATGCAGAAATATGTTCTCTGTTCGTACTGGGTGCTAATATTTGATACTGCTATTGGTTATATTAACATAATCAATACCTTTTCTATGCAAATTTAGGACCAGTATATCTTCTAAGAACACAGAAAGATCTAACAAGTTAAAATCGCTAAATTTTCCCCAATCTCTACATTTTCTTCCAATAAGCTACATTTTTCAGAGGTGTTTATACCAGGTGTTTATATCAAGAGTCCTTCTCCTTTTTGCAACTAATTCTTTTTAATGAATTAATCTTCCTAATCACATTTATTAAACTTTAATATTTGCCCCCATTTTGCCTCAAAACAAATACCTTTTATCATCTAAGGCATTCTACAAATGCAGCAGAGTTTATTCTTTCATATACAACCTAGAAAATTACATGGCTACTAAAAGAACTGAATTCTATTTTTACATCTTCAATCAAAAAAGCTCATGGCTAAAATGTATATACTTAAATTGTGTTTACATTGTTTTTTTCCTTTATAATTCATAATTCCATTGAGATATATTTAAACATAATTTAAAGACTGAAAATCTAGGCCTTATTTGTGGTAAAAGAATTCTAAATTTCCTTTTAGGTTAAATTGCTGCTCCCAAAAATTCATCTCAAAATGCAACGAGGTTTGCCACCAAACACATACGGTTTGTACATGACTGTCAAAGTCTTATGTAAATCTCAGACAACTAGGCCTATTATCAAAAAAAAAAAAAAAAGAAGAAAGCAGCAAACATTAAGTTCTACCAAATTAAGACTCTGCACTTACAGTTCTGTTGTTTAAAAACTCATCTTTCCAAACATATACCTTTACTAGTATTTTAGGGATGAGGCAAGTACATATTTTGTGACTATTTTATTAAATTTTTCCTTTTCCTGTGTCCAATGGACAGTACACTTAAAGTACTAATGAAATAAAACACATGTTTGTAGTGAAATCACTCAAGTACTCACAACATACTCCTTTTGCAAAGTATCCTAAACATGAATAAATCTTGTTCACCTTAGATAGCTCATCATGAAAAACGAAAATACATATAAACACTAAATTTTAAAAATCATTTCACATTGTCCTGCTGAACTCCCCTTAGGGCAGAAGTATTGAAAACTAAAATGAAAGAAAAATAGAAAAGAAAAGGAAAAGAAGGGAGATTAATAACGTAAATAGTATAAAATTGTTGACTATATACATACACATACAATTCAGTTATATAGAATCTTATATATCTGTATGTATTCAATAAACTTAGCATTAAAATCAAAGCTATTTCATAAATATTGGCCTGGGATTTCATACTGTTAGTCCCCTTAGAGATATAGTTATTATGAATGAAAGAGGATAGGAATAAGAGAGTCATAAAAACAATAAAAATTCCAATACTTGAAAATGTACTATTAATAAAGATAATACTGAAAAAAAGGTTTCTGGATAATGCATAACTCACAAAAAAGAAAACTCATCCATGCTAATGTTTTAAGCTGACTGTAGCAGAAAAGAATGCAGGATTAAGAACCAGGTATAAAGAAGTCTCCGATCTTGGTCTAGTTTGAGAGTTCTGAAGAATGCTGGTTCCTGTTTCACACAGGCAAGCCTGTGGCAATGTGTCACCAGTAAACTGGTAGACTTCACAGGTGTCCTGTGAGATTTCTGATGTGTTTACTTCCAACCATACATTATTTTCAAATTGTGTTTTAAAAACAAGTATTTCTGTAATAGTCAGTTGCATCTATTTCCAAATTCATATTTGAAAAATATCCGTATTCACTGGTCTTATTTGTGCTTTGCTCTGTTCATGATTTCTTTCACCTGTGACAATCCTTTATCCTAATCTTGCCAGTTTGTTTATATAGCTATTTCTGCTTTCATTTGCATTAACTCTCAATTAACAAATTTCACTTTTAACAAGTTGGTTAAAATTACATGACACATATATATGTATATGTGTGTATATATACATGTCTATATGTAGCTAGTTTCACTGGTTCCATGAGTTGGTACCTTTTTGCCTAGAAAATCCTGAGTAATCTCACTAATCTTAATTCTCTAGCGAGAAGATATACTTGAACCCCACAGCACAAACAGATCTCTCTCCATAAATTCCAAACTATATAGAAATACTCATTTTCATGCTTAATATTTTAAATTCTGACTATTAACACAAAAGTACAATAATATACAGAGAACTAAGACTCTAGTTTTTGTTTTATCATTGGCTCCATCTACTGTTTCAGATGCCTTTAAAACAGCAGCAAAATAAAAGAAGGTCAATCAACATTAGTGTTGTCTACCTCAACTGTTTACAAAGTGCAAGAATAAATATTCACTAGGAAAAGATAAGAGACTGCTACATTAAGCAAGCCATTCAAACAAATGTAATTATTTAAAATAAACCCAATTGAAGTTCTTGCATTTATCCCAGAAGATAATCATTTTATTCCTCAAGGGAATGAATAGTCAAAAACCATATATTGAGAACCTATCATGTTTCATGTACTGGACCAGGGGTTTGGGACACCAAAAACAAAACAAAGCCTTATCCTCTTAATGTGACAACTCCTAGGACTACAGCTTAGTATCATTCCTAGACTAGGTATACTAGTAAACTAATATTCAACTAGTGAAACCCACTTCAGACGTTACCTCTTTTAGAATGTAATTCTTCATTCTCATTGTCTATTCCGTTAGGACTGCATATTTTAATCATAATGTATGAGTTGAACTAATTTTCTTTTCTACCATAGTATGAATTCCTAGAAGGCAAAACTATTTTTCTTGAAGTCCATAACCATTATCTAGCACGGTCCCTGGTACATGGCACTACCTAATACATACTGATAGTATAGAGAAACTTGATATCCCAGAATATGACAAAAAACTATTTTACATATTACTTCAACATTTCATCCTTCATTCCTAAGTTTTCAGACACTGTACATATAAGGGTAAGAAGATTTTACAATTTATACTCCTCCCCAATTAAAGTCTCTTAATTCATATTTGATATCTTACTCAAAGTTCATCTATTATAACTTACATATATATTTCAGCTGAAGGTGATAGGTCTTAGAGTACTCATTATTGAGATTTGCCATTTTCTTAATATGCTTGCTTATTTCTAAAAAATAAAACACGTTCTATAATTTTACCACACTGAGAATGCCACAATTGTAGTTATTTTATCTTAACTCTGAAATATGAATCAATTAATGATAAAATTTATTTTAGGCAAGACACTTGATATTGAAGTTTATTTTTTATAAACTGGAGATAATCACAGGCTGTTTTAAAGTTCAAATGAAATGATAAATGTATAAATTAACCACCTTGATAATTACAAATCAGTATGTACATGAAGGAGAAACTTTGTCCATCATATTCTGTCTAATTCAAATACAATGAGAAGGAAAATTTATCATGTATCGAGTTCTTCTTCTGTCAGCAAAAAGGACATTGCTATGTAAGACAATGCAAAATTGGTCAATATGTATAAGGATTCCAATTTCACAAAGATCAAATTGATTAAGCAAGAAGCAGTGACTTTTAGGCAGTGATTTCAAGTTTTTGGTTAATTAAAGAAGCAGGAAAAGGAGAACTTTGTAGAAATTTTGCCATTTCCTAGATCTGACACTATCTTTAAAAAAGTTTGAATTCTTTTCTATCTAATGAGAAGTCCAGGAAATCAGCCATTAGCCTCCTAACTATGAGCAACGGTAACAAATGGGGGCCCTTGTTCAGGAAGTTCAAAACAAATCTTTCATACACAATGAGAGTAAGTTAATATAGTGAGCATCTTCCCAGCATCCCCCACCACCACTATGAAACAGCCACTGGATAAAGAAAGGCTGGATTGACCCTACCCAGAAGTATGCCTGGAAAATCAATAGATAAGTCCATTTCCCTCACTGCATGGATGCTCTAATGGGTCAATCAGAGTCAATCCAATGGCTTTTTTTTTCAACAGTTGGGAATTAGACCATTTTGAGTACAGAAATATGGTCCAGAACTACTATTCAGCTGTCATAACAGAATCCAGTCTGATGAAAAAGTTAATGCACAGAAGTAGGCAGATACATGGTGGTACACAAAAATGGAGCTAGATCCCAGCTCAAACCACACAATAAATTCATCCCATCTCTGGGCTTCTCAGATGCATGACTAAATAAATCACTTTTACTATTTAAGCCAATTTGAGTTAATATTTTTTATACATACAACCAAAATCATTATATAGTGAATGTTTTGCCATTGCCTGGGGTGACCTTGGTTTAGGCTGGTCATCCTGGGGTGATTATTATTAGTGTTCCCTTTTCATGTTCTAAAATATCCAAATCAGCATCAGAAAGGATACAGCAAGTAAGGTCTGTAAAATTCTTCTGGTATTGAGGCATGAGATATAGAAATGGTAAAGATTTGACATCATGGTACTTTAGCCTTAAGGTAATGGTAGAAATAACCTATTTTGGTTTCATACAATGAGCTATAACATTTTTAAATGAAGGCTCAATTATGGAAGACAAACTGACATAATCTTCTTACCTATTATGCTTCCACGTATATAAACACAGACTCTCCTTAAAGCCTCTACCATACACCAATTAGTAATGAACATAATGGTCTACACACAAAATTGCACACACCACTATAGTGAAACATGTTTAGGTGATGCTATTATTTTTTATTCTGTGGTAAATTGTGCATTTCTTTATACACCACAAAGAGGTCAAAAGCAGAATGTAGAATAGAGATAAAATGGGAGTAATTCACATTATATAAAAAAAAAATTCACTTTAAAGATTCACTATTGATTTCATTTTTGCAACATTTAATCAACTCTCTTGTTGAACTAATACTATTATTCAATGAAGAAAGTTTACATAAAATATTAGGAGCTCTGAAATATTTTAATCAGCAAAATACATTTACATGAAATATTATTATGACAAAAACTGGCTAATGCGATTAAGCACAAATTCATATTATATAACTTTAAACAAACAAATAAGCTGATTTAGGAGAAATACGTTCAATAAAGCACCTCATCTGTTTTGGAAACTCAATATCGGTCAGTTTCCATCTGCACTGGACATATAATTTACAACATTCAGATTGAAGTTTACCAGCAAGTTCAAATATGGAATGTAGCTACCTATTTCCTTGTGAGCACACAGTGCCTAGATATAGTACTGACATTTTGATGGGAAGATGTTTAAAATTCTTCAGGGCAAATAATAACGAAAAAGTAATCAATACAAACTTACTCTTTCACAGAAAAAATGCAAATAAGGCCATTATTTCAGGCCTTTAGTGAATATTTAAAATTTAATTTTAAACTCTGAATTAGATAAAATAAATGATTCCTAAGAAACAACAAAATCAGAATATATTTATTTCAGTCTTAATATATTCAGCAATCATTAATGCTAAAAAAATGAGATTTTACTGCTCCCTACTTATATTTAGCATTTCATGTTCAAAGGCGGATGCATGTAATTTGTACACAATGAGCCTATGAATTTCTTATGTATAATATTCAAAGACAGGAAAAATAATAAATTTGGTCACTTTTATACAAATCATGTCCTCTTATCTTATGTTTTAAATGTTATTAAATGCTGTCAGTAAGTGATAAAGTGTTTGCATTGTCATTAGGAATATTTGATAGTTATAAGTTATAATTGTAGCAAGATCTTTAGTTTTAGGAGTAATTCCACATAATGATATCAGGAATAAATGAAGAGCAATTATACTGGGACATGATTGCCCCTCACAGGTTAAGTTTAAACGAATTTATGTTCACGAAAGTTCTAACCATTCTGCTCTGCTGGAAAACATCACTTCCCACCACACACTCGACTCTCAACAACTCTTGCCAATCTTAAAGTGATGTTAAGATATGAATAAAACATAAATGTGAGGCTTTTAAAAGAAATGGAAGCCATATATTAATAATACAATACATAATTGTGGTGGGAAAATCAGTTGCTTAAATTTTATATCTCAAATCAAAGACATTTTTAATAACGATGATGAGAATTCCTAATCATGCCAAGCTTTTTAATCTCACCTTCCATTATTTTATCATCTATCTTGTCTATTATAGAAGAATGACTGAGCGTAAACATGAAGATGTTAAGTATATTTCATTCCAGAACTGGTTTGAATAGATCGGTTAGCTGAATTCTTCAGCAAAAGCTGGCTTTAAGACAATAGTTTTAAAATCAAACCAAAGATCCAGAGGCAAGAGGTCTAAAAAGAGGAGCTGAAACAAAGGATGGAACAGATTCAAGAACATATAGATTTTGAATAAAAATTCAAAATAGGGACTGAATTAGACTTTACAAATTTCACCAGAAGTTTCATTTGTGACGAGAGATTATCCTCCAACACCTCATTATTCACCAGTTCCTTCAATATCATCCAAAAATACCCACTTCCCTATCTTCTGATCTCAGTGAAGACTTTGAGGATATGTCTGTCAGACTGGACACTGTCAGAAGCCACAATAAGATTTGAGAGTCCTTCTTTATGGTATTTGCACTGTTTATATGACTGTAATCCCCCAGCCAGCAAACGGACCAGCTGCATTCATGACCTCCCAGCAAGTGAACAGACTTGTTTGAAGAGAGCATTTCCTTGAAAATTCTTGCCCATGAAATCCAATTTTGATGTTTAAAAACTCTCACCCAGGTTCCCTATAAATCTATCCTTTCCTCTTCTGAAAGAAATGGAACACTGTCCAAAAAAATGGAGCAAAGAGATGGAAAAAAAATGCCCAAGGGCTGAGGGAGAGCAGGAGAAAGCTAACAGGAAAAAAAGTACAAATTATACTTAATTACAGCAAGTGTAACAATACTAATTATCTTGGCAAATGGATATTACTCCTATTCTCAAGTTGAGATAGGGCCTTTAAAAGAAAGATATGCATAACATAAGCCTTAAGAACAACTATACGAATCATTTAAAATACGTCACTTAAATTTACAGAGATCTATTTCTGCACAACCACACAAACTATCAAAATTTTTATTTTAATAGCAGTTATCATAGTTCAAAATTTGACTGTGATGTCATATTCTGGCTAAAAGTCAACCAAGTCAACCAAACAAAAGATTTCTGATGGGGAAGCAAAATGCCAAAATAAAAAAATACAGACTGAAATAGGTCTTAAGACTTTTACTCCGTACTTTCTGCTAAAAGAAAATACTATAAATGAAGGATGGGAAAAAAGTCTAAGAAATACCAGAATAATCAATTATTACACTTGGAGAGAGATACTTCTACTCTGTCTACACCATAACAGTCAAAATAATCTGCCAGGGGAAATTATCTTTAACATATTAGAGAATATGGAAATGAGAATAGAGACATTTCAGTAAGCACGCTGCAGTTAAAGATTATTAGGAATATGAAAACAGCACTGGAGTGTTGGAACAACTAGATAGAAATGTAGAAGTGAAAGGATAGAAAAGACTCCCATTACGAAAGAAAGGCATTCAAGTCTACACTTGTTCATGTTGAAGAATCAGATAAGAATATTACACCACCTAAACAAATTCTCTTCTTTAATATGACTCATTACATCAACCTTAATTATGGGAGAGTATATTAGAGTGTATCAGAAAGGTTTAAAAATTCAGAGTAAATAAAAATATATGTTTTGCTTACCTTTTAAATGTTCTTTCTCCTCTTTTCTATGCCAGTCCAGATGCTTGGGTATAGTTCCTCCCTGCCAGTAGATGGAGATAGTAAAATTGAGTCTTTTGGTGACCTCAAATCCTAATCTAGGTGGTTCAGAATCTTCAATTTCAGATTTTGGAAGTAAGAAAAAATTTGAATGATTGAAAAGACACATAAAGCTTGTAAAAATGATTATCTGAGTCAGTCAAATGAACTTTTATTCATGGTCATTTGTACCAATCTTTAAGGGAGAGGGTCTTGGCTGGCATAGAAAAAAATAAAAGAAAGAGCATTATTTTGTAGGATATATTCCCTTGACTCTTCAGTCTTGCCAGATCTTGCTCATTTACTCAACAAATATCTATTGACTACCTACTCAAAATTGCAGGTTACTAGCCAGATGTTTTCATATACATTATCTATTTAATGTTTTTAACAACCCTGTGAAGTACTAATTATCATCCCCAAACATCTTGTCCCAGAAACTATATTTTTAAAAGTTCCATATGGTGAGCTGACTCCTGCTTGCCAAGTTTCTGTAGTCCACATGACGTTCAGTTAACAGCTTCTCAGATTTAGGCAGAATTAGTTTCTTCTTCCTACTGATAAAAGGACCTTGAAGTTGTTGGAAACTCATTTGCTATTGGTAAAAACTGGTTTTCCTTTGTTTCAAATTAACACAAGTCCTCTGCCAGCTTCTTGGGAAGAAATTCAAAAAGCTACAGTGCAGCCATTTTATAGAGATTAAGCGGATCATCTGAAATAAAACAGGGTTCAGGAGGAGAGCCGCATGAAAATGCTTTTCTTTGAGAAATTGCTCACTGAAGATCAAATTCATAGGGAGAAGCATTAAAATTTGTGATTAGTAATAATGGCTTATGAAAATAATAAAACTATTATCATTTTCCAAAGCTAATAGAAAGACACATAAGTACCGCTTGAAGATGGTAAAGAAGCAAACTATAAGAACATTTAAAATTGAATTGAATACTGATAAAATCATGAAATAATTAGTACCATTTTTCTCACTCAGTTTAGGAAACCTGTTGAAATTTTAATTATATCCCTTATTCTTATCACAAAGAAAGTCTAAGCTTCAATATTCCTTGTAGTCATAGTCTGTGACTTGATTTCAACACAACGCACTTTGGAAAAATAGGGCATGACAGTACTACTCAAACAAGAGAAATACCAACTTGTTCAAGAATTAAAATTAAATTATATTAAAATAAAACTACCTTCTTTTATTTACAGTCATCTTAATCACTCTGTCCAAATGAATACACTAATATTTGTATACCACTTTATAGTTCTTATAATGATTTCCGGATTACAACATATTTTCCTATACATAAGATTATTCTGGTTATCACAACAATCTTAAAAATCAAATGTGTCATGCAAACTTTATTATTGTGAAATAGAGCTGGTTGCCACAGTAAATCAACCATAAAATTTCTTGTCCAAACCAATACATTCTTAACAATGAAGGTGGGTGGTGTTATTAATTGTGTCAGAACAACAGGCATAAACCATGATGGTCCCCAGGAAACTTGGACATATGGTTACCCTAATGACAAATGACAAGGTTAACCTTCAATCCAGATCTTTTGAGTCTCAATTCTATTCTCTTTCCACTACATCACACAACTCCAGGAAATCTTTCAACCTGGACATCTGTGTAATCAATTCTTAAGCGTCTATTTTCCTGTTAGCATCCTTACTCAACTTACCCCACTGTATAGAACTTTCTCTTTGTTTTCATAAACTTGGTAAAATCGATTACATTTACATACTTTAGTTCAAGGTAGGTTAAAACAACAGCAACAGAAACAACAATCCTAATAACTGTTTCTGTTTAACTGCTTTTTAGTGGGATTATTTGTGAGGTGTTTCCAATACTAGCAATAAAGCAGGAGACCTTTTTACTAATTATTACTGATTTGCTGGATTCTGGCTCCATTCCACTGCTTGGAACAATAGGGTTGACGATAATTCTACTTTTAATCGTAAACATTCTTCCAGGATTTGGTACGCCTTAAAAAATGATAAATTCCATATTAATTTAGAAAAGATGAGGGATCATTGAAAATGTGCTTAATCATTAGGGCTAAAAAATATGGAAAAAATGACACTGTACTAAAAGTGAAAACTGCTTATCCTTCACAATGGATGCAAGTCTCATATACATATTCATTTACTTACTCAAATATTTAGTTTTTAAAACATCTGCGTGTAATTTAATTAACAAACTCTAAAAGATCATGGATTTTGCCTAGGTTTTTGTTTTGTTTTTTACTATTGTATCACCTAAAACATAGCACAGTGCCTAAAATATAATACACACTTAATAAATATTTGTTGACTGGATGAAGTGCCTAGGAATAAAGCTCATGTTTCACTCACAAACATTTACAAAGAAAATTTAGTAGATATAAAGGTTGACATATGGGTTGATTCCTGGTCTATCATTACTTTCTAAAGATCACTGGCTTAAGAAGAATTGACCAAAACCCCTCACATTATATGAAAAGACACCAGCAACCTACTGCCATGTCATCAAATATGTTTCTATTAATTAGAGTTATATTAAATTCATGTTTGGAATTACTTCATCATGATTTATGAGCTCTCTAAAACAAAACTTCCAACAACTGCAAATTTCATCTACAAAGCATTATATTCAGGGAAGAAATTATTTTTCCTTTCTGAAATCAAAAGTGAGCATCTGTTTTGGGGCTGGCCCTGTGGCCCAGTGGTTAAGTCCGCGCGCTCTGCTACAGGCGGCCCGGTGTTTCGTCGGTTCGAATCCTGGGTGTGGACATGGCACTGCTCATCAAACCACACTGAGGCAGCGTCCCACATGCCACAACTAGGAGGACCCACAAAGAAGAATATACAACTATGTACTAGGGGGCTTTGGGGAGAAAAATGAAAAAAATAAAATCTTAAAAAAAAAAAAGTGAGCATCTGTTTTAAAAAAAGATAATCCTCATTCTCTTGTCCAGACTTTGGAAAAACACATATATAATAAGCAATGACAAATTTGAGATTTTTCTCTTCAAAATTCCATTTCTTACCAGAATTCCAACATCGCCTTATGCTTTAATTTTTTTGTGCCAGATGACAGGTAGAATAGGTAATATTTAGAAAAGATTGTAAGTATTATGGTATAGTGGAATAATACAGTAGTACCATTATGATAAAGAGCATGCCAGCAGGATGATCTAGACAGAAGAAAATAATAATGTAGGAAGTTTCTGAGACAAAAACAAAGCTTGACATGATTTGCTAAATGTCTATAATCCTCTGTTCCTTTATAATTACTCCAATTATAAAACTAGGTTTCAGAATTCCTCAAGTATGTTAAACTTCTGAACAAAGTATAAAAACAAGAGCTATTTTTTTCTTTATCCTTCTAAACCAATGGCTTGAGAAAGTTTTGAGAATCTGATGAAAGGTATGGATGCTCAAGCCAGAAAATTATGTATCTGAATGCACACTCTCATAGTTTTCACACAGTAGCATACAATTTCAGAGTCTTCATCTGGCCCCTAGAAACTATCTATGAATCCTTTGATCCATGAAATTGAGGTTAAGAGCACTTTACTAGGAAATAACTTGTCCATTATAAAGCAAAACAATGAATTCTTCACTCTAGGATCAGATGGGTAAAAAGTGCATTGCGGTCAAATATATCAGCGGAAGAGAGTAACCAATTTAGCAATCAGGGATTAAGAAAGAAATGGATTCTGAAAGGCTAGCTTGAGTTTTGGAGTCAGTTGAAAAAAGATATACATATATATACACATAATATATATAAATATATATATGTTATACATATATGTAATATATAATATAAATAATATATATTACACATAAGTATTATAGATATAGCACGTTTTTACACAAAGATAGTGACAGTATTTCATAGACTTCCACAGCAACTGTATAAAAGTATCTAAAATATTTTCCGGAAAAATATATCTACAATGTGTAATTCAGAACAATCTAAGAATTCTTTAAGTTCACTAAAATAATGATCTTTTCCGGAGAAAATTTAAAGATTCGTTATCAAGAAATGTATATATAAAAGAATATAGCAGATAATTTAACTGCGCTCATGTTTCAATGAGAAAGACTTATTTACTATAAGAGTTTTTAAGTGGAATGACAAGAGCAGTTCCAATTTTTTGAGCCCCAAGAGTAGGTTAGAAACTGTTGGGCATTCACATGAGCTATCTTAGAGCAATACTGTGAGGGAGACTCTATCACCACCACTTTACCAACGAGAGAACTTCTAACTGGATAAAGACACCATGAACAGAGAAGCAAAAAAGTACTGACAAATGTAGACCCTGCCAGAGAAGATGCTTCAAATTGCAGGCACAGATTGATAACAAAACCCTTTGCTCTTATGGCAACCGTAAATGGTACCCTCAGGGTGAGAAGTAGCAGGAGTTCACGTGTTTTAAGATGGCAGTGGTTGTCCTGAGCCATGAAGGTGGGTCAGATCGAATAAAATGCATCCAATTTGATCCTAGTACTTTTGTGACTGAACTGAGAGTGATTCATTTTCAGAAGATACTTAAGACAATATTAAAATTTTCCTCTACTTTTTTTTTTAATAGCAAAAAGGCCTGTTCAGTCAGGTTGAAAAGCAGTGAAGCAAGGATTGAATATGCTGTTATTTTTTTGGTTCATAAAGAAGTTTCAGTAATATAATTAAAATCTTTCACCAGACTTTATATTACATAAATGAGACTAAAGAACATTTAAAAAGATAATACTAAATATTTTAAATTGTATATAAGCAACGGAATTTTTCACTCAATATTAACTAAAAATTTTTTTTGAAAATTGTACAGTAAATAGTTGCTCTCCTTTAGTGGTTTATTGAGAACAGTGCAGAAAATTTATGGTAAAATATTGTATACTAAGTACATTTCTAATCATCCTTCAGGCTCATATAATGATCTGGAAACATCATCACTTCTCTGCTTATTATTGAAGAGAATAAGTGGGATAGGGAAGACAGTAACTGTGATA